AAAATAAATTTATTTTTTCTGCTTAATTTTCTTTACACTGTACCAGAATGCAAAATCACAAGACAAATATTCGGTGTAACGTTGGAACAAATCAACCATCGCTAATAAAGTGAAAGCTGAAAATGACTTGCCTGTTCGATTCACAAGCGATTTAAACCAACATGTAAAATTAGAAATTTCTTATGAAAACTTGAATGTTGTTGACATGTTGTTGTATGTTGTTGACATCCTTAAATATTTTTTTCTCTTTAAACATTGCAATGTATAAGTCATACTTACAATATACAATTTGCACTATATAGTTTCTGCCCCCAGCCCTTTGATTTTCCTCTCTGGCAGACTTGCTGAGGGTAGTGAGCAGAGTGAGAGGAAGTGTGATAAACTGAGCATGGAACATACAGAAGGGGCCCCGTCTGGCTACAGTAGCCAGGGTTAGAAACCACAGACAAAGATGGAGAGAGGCAGATAGCAGGGGCCTAAAACTGCTTGCTACATTTGTGTGACAAGACCAACGCCAGCATGATGTTTTTGATACCCTACCCTGCTAAAAATGTTCTCCTGTGTGAAGATAACATATTTTTTCTAGGGGCTTTCTACCATTACGTGCTGCGGCTATTTAAAGTGCTTAACCAGGGGTAATTATTATTTACAATTAAAAAAAAGAAAAAAAAAGAAAAGAAAAAGATTTCCTTAAAGTTTGACACAAATTTACTTAGAAGTAAAGACTGTTGGGTTAATACTGCACAGCCTGCATATTGAAAACGTTTAGTGTTGCAATGACCCAAGAGCACTAATGCATGTGTAGGTACCATGGTCGTATTTGTTACACTGAAAAACTTTGCCCCAGTATTTCAGTATGCGATATCAGAACATCCTTTGCTTTTGTAAAATGTATGACACGATACAGTTGAAAACAGAAGTTTAAGTACACTGAATAAAAAGACACACTTTTTTTTGTTTGTCATTCAGACCTAAGACAAAATAAGATGGATCTAATTTGACTTCACACAGTGAAAGAAAAATATGTATTCGTCTTTTCATTCATGTACATTAACTTCTGGCTGTAACTGAATATCCATTCAAATAGTAAACTTCATGATATTCCTGTTATAAAATAATCCTTTTTTTTTTTTTTTTTTTTTTTTTTTTGCTTTGTTCTGTTTATTACATTGATTTGTGATGGCCAGAAATCAAAACTGACATACAAACTTGAATAATTGTCCATCTATTTACGAAACGTCCATGTCAAGAACTCTGAGCGATGCTTTTCCTCTCTTCATATAGCATCCAGAATTTCCCTGCTCTGTCCTCATGTGACATTTGCAGTTGCTATCATGAGCTATGTTTTCACAAGTCCTCTGAGCAGGAAAGAAATCTCTTTGTACACCTTTATATTACATAGATTTTTCACAGAGCAATACAAAGTTCATTAATAATCCATGCTGCAATGATAAAAGTTAAATTCTTCACATTTTTATTGTTACAAGAGCCTGAGTTTAGGCATATTTCTCCTCTGAGCTATGCATATTGCATGAGTGCATGTCCTTAATGCTGTTTTTGCTCCCCAGCGACCGACGTTAGACAACCTCCATTATAATAGATGCAATCCAAGCTTATGATGTTATGCTCTGACCTTAGCTTCTTGAATTTATGGAATCTTAAGTAAATGGCTTGTCTTGTATAAACAGAGACAGAGCCTTTGTATTGAGTTTCATCGGTTAGATTATACACAAAAAAGAAAAAAAAAAAAGAATTAATTTTCTTAATTTTACAAGCTTACAAATGCAAAGCCGTGCTTTACTATACAGAACATGCAAAACCATGTGAGACCCATTTAACCACTTCTGCACAGCTGTACAATTTAACATTGACACCACAGGATGATGCTAAATCTTCAAACATACAAACAGACAAAAAAATGTCCTTTCATCTTTTCTTCTGTTTTTCTTTCCCTATCAAGACATTCTCCTCTCTATCGGCATCTTCTCTCTCCCTTTTTATGCAGGCTTGTTTTTTACATCTTCGCTCCTCCGGAACAGGCTGCAGAAAGACATACACAAAGAGAGAGGTATGAATGCAGGTACTAACAGATGTAATGATGTACTTTGTCTATCCATATGCTGAAAGAACTTTTTTTTTTTTTTTGAGAAACATCAAAGGATTTAAGTATAGCAGCAAATCCCATTACTCCCAATTCCAAGTTCAAAGACCGGCAGGATTTGCTGGTGTATATGCTAAGTTATCAGCACCAACTATAATAAGAGGTGTCTGAAAAGCACAAATAAACTTTCCACATACATTTTTGCAAATTTGTGTACGGTGCAACCATATTGAAATTTTAGTTCAGGGTTAGAGAAAAGTCTTTAGTTTTCCCACCTGGAATTTTAATTTCAGGGAAATCATGTTATTTTTTTAGCTTTGAACTTAAAAATTTGAACTTCTGTGTAAAAGAAGTTCTGTGTCCATTATTAAACTGCTTACTTCAACCAGACATGCAGTATTAGTGGAAAATGTCTTCTTTGTTTTAAATATTTGGTACAGCACAATGCATATTGAGAAAGTGACGCAGTTGTACTACTGCTCCAAAGTGTTTGTCATTATGGTTGTACCGTTTCTTGAGGTGGGACTTCTGTGAAGCCCTGCATAAGACAAGTTATATGGAGGTGGATTGTTAGCTTCAGTGTGGTTAAAATTTGCTAGCTTTGTTCTGACATGCAGAGTAGAGTCATTGTTGTTTTGGAATAAAACTCTTTGATAAATTGTTTTGTAAGTAGGAGAAAAAAAAAGAAAAAAAAAAACTATTTTCATCTTTAGCACATTTCATTGGAATAATGAGAGCCATCAACTACAAAATCAGCTTTGATTCTGGTGTGCTTTTTTCCCCCCTCCGGGTATCTGTCTCTGTACTGGACACATGATAAGTACCTCATATTTTTCCTACTCTGCATTTTTTTGCAAAAACAAAAAAAAAAAAAAAAAAAAAAAAAGCTTAACCATTATCTATTGCCCTGAACTCTGTGAAAAGATAATGGCATTAGAAATTCTTGGAAGCTCACTCTGGGAACATTGCTCAACTGGAAAGTGTAAGCTCAGCTCCGAAACAAGCCCGAATGTCTCTGTGAAATGAAAAGAGCCCCGTAAATCACTACTCTTTAATACTATGTCATTAAAAAAAAAAAGAACTGACGCATAAATCACAAGTAGTCTGCATTATTCCCAGGGGGTATGTGTGCTGTGCTCCGTCATATTACATTTCTTCCAACGTGTCTGTATGGCAGGCTCCACATCTGGATCAGCATTATTATGACAGTGTGAATATTGAGCAGAGTATGCTGCATCAGACACCATTATACGGTGCATTTAAAATACCTAAGGCGTACCTTTTGCCACGTACGGCACCAAACTAAGATTACATAAATACAAAACAAAAAAAAAAATTGGTGGAGTTATTTACGCAAAATTTTGCGTAGATTTAATTTATTTTACAATCACAAATTAAAGACGATATCCTCAAGTATAGACACAAAAGCTCGGAAGTCTAAATGCATACTATACGTCTTCATAACCGGGTCTCGGGTCAGCTCAGACTGACGACAGCAGATAAAGTCACACTCTCGAAAGAAGTAGAATAGCACTTCGCAAGAGGGTGATTTAAGTGGACAAGAAATAGCATGGCATCAAATCGTTGATGTTGCTGCTTTTTTTTTTAATGTGTAAAATGGAGCAGGTAATTGGGGGCATTAACTGGCATAAGCTTCAGTAGTCTGATGAGAAAAACTGTACCACCACAGCTTCCCCTATAAAGACGTCATGACCAAACGAGCCTGTAAAACAGAATATATTGTGGAAGTCATCAAACTTAAATAAAGCCAGATATTCATGATTTATGCTTAGAACAGCAATTAGACAAAATTACCCACCAGACTGCTTTGCTCATGTTTCAGACAGTGAGACAGTTCAGCTATATCAGGGTGTGTCATCGAACTGCGAGCGCTCCAGCAGTGACTCACCGTGACAAATCTGAATGCTCGAATACAAGAACAAAGACGGTTCAAGCATTGTATTGTCTTTAAATTTCAGAAATTTAAAAGGACGTAGCCTTTTTAAAATATGATCCACCGTATGTGTCTTTTGTGACTCTACAAAAATAATAGAAGCAATATTCAGGACACTTGGCACGGGTGTCATCTGGATGAAGTCGTCCACTTTATAGTCATTCAACACTCTAAACTCTCAGTGCAGTTTCTGAGTTGCACAGAATAACGTAGACAAAGATATGAGATCAATGAAAACAAGAAAAATGGCAAAAAACAACTCCGGTTGCAGCCTTGTTCTGCTCGTTTCCCTTCACTGTCTTTCTTGCCTTGCTGTTTTCACTCCCTTGTCCTGCTATTCCATTTTCAACTCATTTTTGCTGCCTCACTTTCTCTCCACCGCCCCCTTCATTCTTTCTGTCAGCCTCTGTCTCTCTCTCTCCTCCCTCATGAGCAGACAGGCAGAGACAGAGAGACTGTTGTTGTGCTTGCAGTCTGACACTATCAGCTCATAAATCCCTGTCAACAGCTTGTATGCCTCCTCTCCTCTCTCCCCCTCCCCTTCTCCATTCCTACCTCCCCTCAGTGGTGAAGGAGTGGAGGAACCCGGTGACCCGCTGGTGGAGGCTCGTCTGGCACAGACAGACAGATCAACCTGCTCTTTCTCTTTTGTACATTTTTTCTTTTTGTTTTTTTTTTTTTTTGCTGGCTATAAATAGTTTCAGTTAATTGGGGGATTTTTTTTCTGCCAAAGGGCCTGAACTGTGAGATTCCAAATGTATCTTCAGGTCTATGTTTTTATTACATTTCAATGACTCAGACTGAGTCACTGAGAGGACCGCAGCCTCCAGCTTCCGTCTCTTGAGATAGTTCAGTATGGATTTTCATGCGTATTGATGAGTCCCGTCTTCTCTATGTGGGGTCTTATCCCATACATGGGCTGCTCATTTCTCTAAAATGTACATATTATGCCTTTAAAAAAATGTATTTGCTGACACACAAGCCTAAATCTAGACACTTTACCTTCAAACAGCTAGAGAGCCAACCAATCATATTTTTGGGCCTTTGACATCAATCTTTGTTCTTCTTTAAAATTAGGCATTTTCTTACGTTGAATAAAATCCAATACTTCACTTAAAGTTGACAAAAGAGAAGAAATGTGTGTGGTTAAAAAATAAAATTAAAACATTTCAAAAGTAATTCACTCACCAATATCATTCCAGACACCACAGTCTCATTTTTTAAAGACAGGAACAGCTAGCATAATGTTCTGACAACCTATCAGATGAGGCTTAAATTGTCATTTTGTTCTAGATATATATGCGGACCCAACACAGCTACAGTCTTAAATAAACCGAGTCTTGCTCTTCCTGACAATGTTTTTAACCCAAGTAGTTTGCTAGTAGGCAAACTATTTATTTTTTTTTTTTAATCTAATAACTTCCTGTGATTCATTTTGTAATATATCTAAGTGTTGTCAAGGAAAGAGTACAAGTTGTTCTCCTGCTTGAACCTAGCACTGTTTTGAGCATAAATAACCACTGATGGGGTGTGCTCTGTGACACTCTTGTACATTGTGAACTTTCTGTGTATATCTGGGTACACAGCCATCACTGCCTTCCTAAGGAAATAAGCCACTGGCTGTACACATATAAAGGGAAAGCTGTAATGCTCCACTTGTGAAAGTAAGTCTGTAGGGCCTTTCCTTGCCACTCAAAAAACAATTCTGAATGTTTCACTAGAGGACAGGACTTATTGAAATTAATTAACTGATAAAGAAAATGAACCACTAGGTGTCACAAAAGTAATTTTTGTCAAAAAGGTGTTCACTGCAAAATAATGTATACATATACATGGAATGGATGCTGAAGGAGAAAAGACTAATATGGGAGACTGAAAACATGAGTGAGATCACTCTAAATTAGGTTAAAACTACAAATAAACTTATTTTTAATCTTGTTTTTTTATGTTGCATTTCCATCCCTCCTTTATCCAGGCATGGGCGGTGCAGACTTGGCTTAAAACTGACAATAAAGTTAATAAAATGTGTGTTTTTAGTTCTGATGTGGGATTTATTTATATGGATGACAGAGGTTAACAACAAGTCATAGAAGCAGATTAAGATTTCCAACCATAGATTACTTTATACATTATAGTTTATGACACAAAAACACAAACCGAGGACAATGTGAGTACTTGACTGAAACTGTGTGAAGCAAAGCCAATTTATTTTCATACATTAAAATTTTACAGAAAGAAAATTTTATGCACACAAATTATTCATTTCATCAAGGGGTTGGGGTGGCATCTACTCTGTCTGCAGCTATTAGGGACTGCTGTGTGAGGACTGGGCTGCCTGTGAGTACTTTGAGTAGCATCACTCCCTTCGTATTGAGAGGTATGAAGAGGAGTCTGAATAATCACTAAAGTTGCCATTTTAGACTTAAACTAAAGTATGTTGAATCGTCAAACATCAAATTTAGTTCAAATCTAAATTTACAAATGTCCACTGCTGCATTTCTAGTCAGAGGTGCAAAAAAATGTCTTTTTTTTTTTTGAGAATCTGATTTTTTTTTTTGTAAAAGTAATAAAAACACAGTAGAATAATGCACAATCCTGAAGACGTTGCTGAATCTCACTGAATGTTTGTAACATGCTTTCTAAATATCCTTAATTGATGCTTGCTTTCTTGGCGAGAAAGTAACATTGTCATTTGCTCAGAGAATAACTGTTTTTTTAATGTCCAATTAGAAACACCTAAAACAGTCATTTCTCCCCAATTATAAATGATATATTCCTACACACCCAGATCAGAAGGATTTCACACAGGTGTGGGCCAACATCAAAAACTTCTAAGACCGTAGACAAAAAGACGGATGTTGTGTCTTTCCATTATTCCTCCACCTCTGTGTCTCCCTTTCTCCCTTCCTCGACTCGCTTTCCCTCAGGCAATGTTTGCCGGCAGACAGTCACTGACATTGGTTTCCTGTTGTTAGGGGTAAACACCTGGTTAATGAGGTCACGCAACACACCAACAAGAAAGAAGAAAATGCCACCGAGTCAAAATTCACAGCCCTCGCCCAGTGCATGAGGATATATACGACAGACTCATAATCAGGTCGTGCAGCCACATACAGGAGGCACAGATACACGGTCGCAAACAGAGAGGCAGATCTTGCAAAGCAAGCGTCGACATGAATGCATACAAACACACACAAAGCTGCTCATGCATATGCTTGGCACAGACTGCTAAACAAGCATTGAGCCAACCAGTCTGTGTGAATCGCCACACACAGGCTTGTTAAATTATAAAAACACACACAGCCCAGCGCTGAGGTGGAAGAGAAAGAGGGAAAGTCATAACATGTTCTATTCTTTTTATCACCCCTAAAATGTTTATCACCAACATATATAGAAACCAACTCCAACGTCATGGTCTGCCGATATGCTGCGTTTGAGAAATCTTGAAAAATGAACAGCAGGAAGTTCACTCTGTGATGAAATGTAAAGCATGGAGCCATCTGCGAGTGCAAAGGCCTCTCCGTCTCTGTGGGGGAACATTTCAAGCTGTACCTGCTCTTGTACTTGCTGTCCAAACAGCTGCCTTTGTTGCTAATGTTCTCAGAGTGTCAGGACAAGAATGTCGTCACAATTTCAGCTTCAGGCAAAACAGAGGGGCCGAAGGGGTAGGAGGGCATGCACATGGCCATCAGTAACAAAGACATGTCAACTCTGAATGATTGGCAGTGGAAACACGGAGTGAAGCGCCGTGCTTTTATGTGCGATAAAAAGACAGAGAGTTCATGTTATTTTTTGCTTGCTCAACAACTGTTTGATAAATGACTTGTACTTTTACTCTGACAGGTTTTGTTCGAGAACATAAGGTCAAAGCAGAGTTTCTGTTTACCGAGGATCACTGACCAACCTCCAAGCATGATGTACATCACCCATGTGCATGTCTTGATAAAGCCTGTGTGGTTACCTGGGAAAGCCGAAGGAAAACAACAGCCCAAAAGGCCACGTCAAAGAGGATCCTTACATGACGACCGACTACATACATGTTAATCAGTAAAGCTCAGCTGCTCACTGTCAAGGTTATTTACCCTGACATGGTAGGGGTGTAGTGGTATGCAAAAATCACTGCCCAGAACTTCTATCAGCGTTGAAGTCTCAGATTGGTCTTATTTGGGTATGTTTCAATCAAAAAAAAAAAAAAAAATGTTTTGATTTCTAGATTTTATTTGGTTTTATGATGTTCTAAAACTTAAAGCAGAAACCTTAGTTTTTTAGTTGTTTTTTTTTGTTTTTTTTCAGTGAATAAAGTGGTATAAAGCTGGCAAAGCTAATCTCTATCTGTTAAAGTATTTCCACCGTTTGGGTTTAACTGTAGCAGCATGTGAAACCTTTTCGTTCGCAAACAGATCTTAGTGATAGATAAGAGTCCTGGCAGTTTCATTTTGTGGTCACTATTTTAAGGTTGTGCTACAGAATATTGCATAGGTACCAGTATAAAAATTGCTGCATGTATTCGGCATCAAGTTTAATTTCACTGGCTATAGCCTCTTAAAAACAAGAAATCCATTACGTAGAACCTGCTTGGCAACAGAAAGTTTCAAAAAGTAACACATTGTTCCCAAGTTTAAAATACATTTTTTGAAGAGATAAGAATGACTCTGACATGTATCAGTCAGGAGAGGAATTCAAAGACATTGCTAAAACATACACACAAACACATGCGAAATCTGTAAGGAATTACATTTTTTCTGCATTTTATAAATATCAGAGCAATAGATAGAGGTAGTGAGGTGTCTTTGTATTTTGAACATGATATGAGAATCACATTACTTTAGTAAGAAGTAGTCCTAATTTCACATCTTATGAAGTAACACCATGTTCTGTGTCAGCCGTCAAACATGGCTGATATAGAACATGACAGATCAGCTGCTTTACTCTTTCACCAGAAATATCACTTCAATGCATAAGTTTATAGATGCTTATTGTAGCAATCTGTTTTAAAGTTAAGATAATTACTATATTTATAAAGGAGGCTTTTTTTTTTGCATGCACACAAAAAAAAGCAATAATGAAATAGTTCAGCCTCTAACTTGCAAGAGACTCTAGTGCTCGAGCTCAAGCTGTCGTTTTACATGAACCTGAACTGACAACCCTTCATTCATTAACTGTGTCATGAGTCATGATTTGTGTCATTTTTGGCAAAGTGGAAAACTGTCAGTCATATTGTGAAAGTAGGCGTATTGTGTAATTTGAGAAAAATACAAGTCCTGTCCACTCCAACATGGATATTGCCTAATATTAAACTTAAATGGAAAATTTTCTGAGCCATTTGGATCTTCTATCCATCAACAAGTAAAGGTTTTGCGACATAAACTCAGAATCTTGTTTTTAATTTAGTTTCAACTCGGTTAGAAAAACAAATAGACAGTGACTGACCCTTAATTTCTGTGCTAGAAGCTACAATTACTATGGAGCCATTCTGGTTACTTTTTCAACGTCAGTCTAGAGTTGAGTCAGTCTGAGTCTGTTTCAATTAAACTTCAAATGTCAAAGAAAACAAAAACCATAAAAAATAAAAAAACAACTAACACATTGATATGAATACATTCTATACTGTATAGAAAGTGTCTGACAGTGCAGATCTAAAAAAAAAATAATTGGGGAATTAATGTCAAAGGACACAAAGCTGAAAAATCTTTACAAAAGTTTTAAAAAAATGAATTAAAAAAAACAAACAAAAAAACAAAACAAAAAAAACCACCCCAATAAATCTAATTGTGTTATGGTCTCTACAGTGAGTGTTTAGGAAAATATTCAATTTTAACCTCTTTTTTTTTTTTTTTTTACTAATATACTTAGAAGTAATGCAACCTACTTTTTGTCTGTTTGACGTAACTCTATACAGCTGATAAAACAAAATTTCAGTGCAAAACAAATAAGCCAGAAAGAATGAAGCATAAACAATAACAATGAACACCAACACCTAACCATGTCGGTGTTTTTTTAACCTAAGAAATCATGTTCAGTCAGCTTAGTCACAGTCGATAGTGATCTGTGTGGTAATTTTACTTTATCATAAACATAATTTCTAGTCCACAATATCATGAATTAAAAATCATAAGAGGAATTTGAATATGACCGCAAAGTAGATAATTCCCTACTTAATTAGTTGTATTGTAAATAAAATGACTATTTAAACACAGTTGTAAATGTCTCTATTCATGAGGCTTTAAGATAAGACATTGTTTTCTTAGTTCAGATCGACAGTTCAACCCCACACCTTTATATCTCAAAGCTCAAAGACCAATAACTTAATAATGAAATCTTTCTGGTCTTCTCTGTCAAAACATTGTCTCAGAGGCACCAGAACCAAGGTGATTCACCGAAGAAGGTAATTTCACAAGTTATTCCTGGACAACAAGAAGCAGCCTGTATGGCATGTGTCATACAAGTGACAAGGAAGCCGGTGATGAATCATCAGCCCTGTTAGTTAGACAAGCGGTCTTTCAGGCAGTTTCAGTCAGTTTGATTGTCAGAAGGACAATCTTTTCTAATTGTTGTGAACAAAAACACTGTGGTCGTGTCTTTGTCTGAGTGTGGTCCATGCATTTATTTGCTTTTGCAAAGGAAGTGGCTGACAGTGAAAAATGAGACCAATTTCAATTTTAATTGCCAGTGAACAAATGGCCCAAAGTATTTATGAGTTTTGACCAGAGGGACAGAGGAGAAAGCTTTAAGCATGAGAGCATTTTCCTTATCTCAGTTTTGGAAAAAAGTGCCATAACATGACTGGAACCCCTTTGAAGTTAGATTTGTAGTATTGTTGGAGATCAACCAAAGCTTTGAACAATGAAAGCAGAATAGGCAAAATGAAATTAGTTAACAGAGCCAAAGGTAATACTTTTTTTCTCTCTCTCCTTTTACTATGAAAATAGCTTTGCACAATGTTTTGATATATTTTTTATGTGTCCCAAGTTTTTTTTTTTTTTTTTTTTCTAGCTTTCAACATGTAATTGCTATACATGAGAAAATGCAAGCATAGAACATGATGGAAGGTACAAAAGAATGAAAACTAATTGAATTCCATTTCCTTTTTTTTCTTTTTTTTTAGGATTTTAAGCCTGTATTATCAGACAAAAAAGAAAACAAACAGAAACCGCTGTGAAGTAAAGCTTTATATTTTTTTTTCCTGTGGACAGTTGAAATCTGTCCATAGAAAACATATTTTTTTGCAATGAAAATATGGAAATGTTGGGTTTGCGTTTTACGTTAGTGTGACAAAATCTCCCACACTGATCTAAATGTGAAGGACTATCATTTAACATTTATGAAAAACACATTATGATGAGCTGAATTTTTTGTATTGCATATTTGTAGTTTTGTTTGAGTTTACATAATGATCAGCAGAGCATATGCTAATCATACTGTATACACTGTCTCACTATACCCTCTATGAGTGGCCTCAAGAGATCATTAACTAAATTAATATTAATAAAAAAGTCAAACACTTGACTTGTTCAGGTGAGGGATTTTTTTTCATCAATGCAGACAGAGTGTTTGCATGTATTAGCATGTCAATAATTACCTCTAAAATTCGGTCAATGTGTAGACATTTGAGTATAATGCATACATTCAGAAGCAGTCGATATGCTTTTTTTCCAGCCTAATTGTTAGCAATAGAAAGATGAAGAAATATCAATCATTTACCATTTTATTTTAAAAATGGAGGACAATATGGCAGACACACGCACAACTAACATGCAAACACACAGGTTCATTAATATGTACAAAATAAATAAGGCAAACTTTCCCACATTGCAAAACACAAAAAGGGCATTCAGTTAGTCTTTACTTAGTGACATACAAACCCATGGGAAGGCACAGAGTTGGAGCTGAGAACAGTGTAATTAGAGAGAAAGGAGGAGACAGACAGATAGAAAGAGCTTAACCCGAGGCACAGCAACAGGAAGAGAGACGGGGGGGAAGGAGAGGTGACAAGGTTGAGAAATATCTTCCCAACCTGAGAGAGAAAGGGGGCAGAGAACAAGAGAAGCAAGAGGCAAGTTGAGGATTAACGTGATGCACATTATTTATGCAATTATCTGAGAGCGTGCAGAAGCAATGAGTGATAAGGACATAGGCTAAAAGAAAATATAGCCAGAAAGGGGATGAAGTGAAATGAAAAAGAAAGAAAAGAACAAAGCAGCTGGATGTGTTATGTGAATAAATTTCTGAAAATAAGAAAATAAAGCGGCATCATAACTTGCCATCAACTCCTGTGTAGACGTTGCCGCTGAATCTCAGTCTGCCACACCTGAAAGAAAGAGAAGCGTGTTTACATTCTCAGATTACATGCACCGGTTTGTGTTTCTGCTCTCAGGTTCAAAACGAAAGCTCAACCTGTGCCACAGGAAATGTTTATTTCTCCTTTGAACAATATGCATGTGACAAAACGCCAAAACTTTATTAAAGTCAAGTCCAGTGATAAATGCTGTGCCTCTGAGATGAATAAGGGTCACCGTACCTTCCCAGCACTCTGTATGTTTTATTTATGTGAAGTCCCCTGGAACAATAATGCTCCTTTAAGGTCAACCAAATGTTATGTGCACAACTGTTTCCCTTGGTAGGTATGTGCTTGTGTGGTGGAGGGTCTGTGTGCGTGCGCGTGTGTGTGTATGTGTGCAGGCCGAGTGATGACACTGACCTCAAAAACTCCACCTGTTATTGCTGAAATGCACCGAATTTGTGGCCAAGATACGTTTCAATTTGACAGCTCTGCAGTAGCAGAGTATCTGTAGCATACCCAGACGGAACATATGCTTCAAATTTTGATTGTAGCTACCAATATTTGAGTTATATGGCCGGCAGCAATGTACTTGTCAGTAGCAACGTATGTGTGAATAAAACTGAACCTGAACTTAGGATGATGAAATGTGCACAGCGCCTTACAAAAGTATCTGCACGCTTTAAACTTTTTTGTATGCTATCTTATAATCACTGTGTTTTATCTATATTTTAAATTGTGGATCAAATAAAATTAGTGTGTAATTGTGACATGGATAGACAGTTATTGTTCACAGTTGTAAAAATTGAAAATCATAGTGTGCATTTGTATTCAGCTTTCCTGAGTCAATCACATTTTTCTGCAGATACAACTGTAGGTCTTTGGAGTGTAAAACCTCTGCTTGCTTTACACACTTAGATACTGATTTTATTTTCATGCTGTTTGCAAAAAAACAGCAAAAATGTTTTCCAGTATTATATATTTTTCAGCAACCACCATTTCTATCACTTTCTTTAAGGGTATCAGTATAAAGGGTGCTAAATACACTTGCCCATCATACTTTTCACATTTTTTATCTGTAAAAAAAAAATCTTAAGACTATCATTGCCCCTCTATAGACCTCTGTATTGGTCTGACATGTAGATTATATAAAGTTATAAAGTTTGTGGTTGTAGCATGACAAAATATGCATAAAAAGTGAACAATGGGAACATTAAATTTGGTCTTCAGCTTATTCACTCTGCTCTCTTAAATTATATCACTTTTTTTTTTTTTTTTTACATTTTTACCATCAAACTCAACAAAAAAAAATCTAGAGGAGATGTAACATCAGAAAATCTTTGTTAAAATAAGTTACTGCAGTCAGGTTCACTTTCTTTCTGTGCTCTATGTAGCTCTCCAACGCCCAAGAGCCTTTTGAGAAGATGCTGATACACAAATTCCCATGGGCTCGTTGGAGTGGACCGGAGCCAGCAAAAACTGCAAGCAAACATTGAGGCTGCTGCATCTGATGTGAACACAAACAACCTAAAAGCCCACATTCACACATCTATGTGTACAATTGCGAATGTGTTTGGGGTTAAGTGAAGAAAAGTGAGAAAAAGTGGAGGGGTTGGAATTAGAAGGAGAGCATATGCCTGCGTGCGTGTGTGTGTGTGTGTGTGTGTGTGTGTGTGCATGTTCGGTTGCAACCGACTGGAGGGCGTCTCAAAAGTGTTACAGCATTAGATTTATGAGGGCATTCACAGAAACACTGGCAATATAACAAAGATCTTGGTTCCTGTCAAAAGTTCATATTAGGTCCTATTGTGGCAAGAGGGAAAGGAGACAGAATACAAGCTTTGTGTGAGAGAACTGGGTGTAAAAGAAGGAGGCGAGACAAGAGGTCAAGAGAAAAGACAAAGAGCTGAAAAAAAATCCCAGAGAGCAGAGGAAACAAACAGAAAACATTTTCAAAGAAGGGGGGAGAGAAAACATCTCATGACAAGCAAAATGAGGAAAGGAGCCATGGAGAAAAATTCTGAGCTACCAAGAGAAACAGTCAGCCGCGCGGCCCCCCCCCCCCCCCTTCAGTTTCTCCACCCCTTGGTTTTTAGTTGCCAAGTCAACACCACATTATGGGTCCCTGGGTTTTTTATAATGGCTGGGTGTGTTCTGATCCTGCAGTAAAGCCATCAACAGTCAAATTCCAGTCTTAATTAGTGGTGGGAACAAGAGTTAAAAAAAAGCAAATCAGCTGAGGAACAATTAAGCATCGCAGAGGGGAAAAAAAACAAAAAAACTTTATTTTCCGGCAATATTTGAAATTATGGGATGGGATTGTGATGCATCAAGCTCACAACATTGATGCTTTTAAGGAATGCCACTTTTCAGCTCTATTGTTTCAGTTAAAGCTGGGAAATAAAACTACAGCTTAACAGTGCTTTCAATCTGTACTTGGTGGATGTCAGCGGTCATATCAGCGAAAGGCACTGGTTTTAAGTGGTTTCAGAATAAAATGACTTAAAATCCTGCACAAAAAAAGTCATTTTGAGATTAAACCAAACAGGGAAGGGGAAGTTAGCATGTTTATGGACTGTGGAAACTTTTTCAATAAAATAATCCATACACATACTCCTACTGATCTATGCTTTGAAGGGATAAAACTATTAATGTATAGTAGGTTACTTAGAAAGGTCAGCCTAGAATGTGAGAGGTTTTATTTTACACATTTTACAGTGTTATGAGTTATTAGTAAACTTTACTAAGTAAAGTTTCTGTTGACACTTTAGCTGAAGCACATACACGGAGGTGGTGATACATCTGATATAAAAGTACAATGTTATAAAAGTACAATGTTATGTTAAAAAAATAAAATGTTGAATTGTGGTTGTGTCAAAATAAAACAGGCCTAAACAAAATGTTAACAAAATACGTGAATTTGATCAAAAGGTTGAACAGAAAATGTATCCTTATAAATGTAAGTACAGATGGAACCAATATCTTCACATTGTTGACAAGCTTTGTTTTGTTTTCTTGACTTTTCACAAACCCCACAAAAACCTCAAAATTGAAGAATGATAGACCTGTACCAGACATTATAAAAAGCCATTATTATGAAAAGAAAACATCACCTTTAGCAGCTTTTTAACAGTGTTAACCAAGGTTGCACTGTATTTGGCCTCTTTCTTTTTTCCTGTCCGACCTCCTCAGGAAAGAGAAGCATGTCATAATATTGCCACCACCACGTCAAGAAAAAATGTTACAAAAAGCCAGCAATGCTTTAATTCCTCAATAAAATATTATCTATCTAAATGTCCAGCCACCACGAGGGAAGATAGAAAATCCATGACATGTTGACAAGTATAGGAAGACATTTTTGGTCTGCAGATGAGGTGTTTTGAGTCACCACACAACACCATGAAGCAAAAAGGAAGAAGAAAACAATGCCAATACAAGATGCAAAAGCTGATTTTGATATTTCTTTCCTTGTTATGGAGCAGCTGTTTGGAATTTCACTTTATTTCACTGTGTGTTTTCTCTGTCGATGGGTAAAAGGTCCTGTGCCAGAAGCAGAAAGCTGCACACGCTGTAAATCACACAAGACGTATCATAGCTTTTGAGTTTGTAGAGCTGTCAGTTCAAAGGCAGACTCTTACATGTGGCAAAGTGATCTGGCAGTATAGAGTATCATATACAGCCTGGAACACAAAACCAGGGTTTGCCTCTCTCTGAATCTTGACATCAGCTGCAAGCACCAGTTTTATATTTTTAACATTCAGCCCAGTGCTTGGAAAGATTGAACTTAGATCGTCTCTGGAAACATCATTTATATTTACTTTGCACTCATCTGCCAGAGCCCTCTACCTTGTAATTTCCAGGAATCGACTTTTACTGTAAAGCAGCTCCCTATGTTATGGTAGAAGTCAGATGTGCTGACCAGCTGCATCACCATGATGTCAACGTAGAGGAACTCAACTCTGTCCCTTGAGGAGAGAAAGGGTAAATTTATATTTGATTGACAAGTGGTGAGTGAGTTTTCTGAATGCAGAACGCATGCTGACACCAAGGAATAAAGCAGGCAGAGGGCTAATTGTGATGGATTGGCTTTACCTACTGAGCAATTACAGTGAGATTAATTGCTTACTTGTCACTTCACTGGACTGTTATTAGCCAAGAAAGCCGACTCTGGAAAGCATTTTAACGTGAGCTAATTGACATAATTGTTCTGCAGATGACAGAAATCCTGTGGTATTACAGAACATTCACTTTTCCCTCAACGGGTAAATAATAAACTTAACAGTAATTGACAAAATGTTGCAACTCAAAGAAAGGATGCATCAGCAAGAGATGACAGCCAGAAGGCAAAATAATTTAAAAAAAGGCAAAAAAAAAAGGGAAGGAAAAAAAAAAAAGAAAAAGTGTGTGTCTCTATGCAATGTGTGTGGCTCTGTATGTCTGAACAGCATGAAGTTGAGGTCATGGAAACTTAACTGTCTGTGTTACGGCCGGGGGATTAGCCTGGCCATGCCCTCACATTGGCTGGAATGCCTTTGCATCCCACAAACACACATGATGTGCACACTCATGCAAACACAAGGTCAGGCGGGGTAAGTCGAGCTGGGTCTGAATGACCTTGCAGCACTGCTTCTTTTAAGCATGGAAGATGTACAGTACCCTCAACAACTACAGATCCCCGGGTAAAAATACTGCATCTAAAAGCACTAAAAGAAACAAATATTTTGTTTCATCTGTATATTCTCAAAAAGAAAAAAAAAAAAGAAAATCAAACTAATATTTGGAGATTTGTGCAGTTTCTTTAAAAACCTCAATTTTAGAAAATAATTGTTTTGAGGCACATCACCGGTGCCTACAGTGGCAGTCCTAAAATAAATGTAAATTAAACATGTTTTCAATTTGAAATGTTAAAGTGAGCATAGTGTCAAGGGAACCATCACATAGTAAACACATAGTAAGTTCATGTTTCTCTGGGGTAAAAATCTAATGTGACACAGAGGCCAATTTATCCTTGAAGGTCCGCAAAATGGGAA